CACACACACACACACACACACACTTGAACACCACCTGCGCGCGCGCGCACACAGCCCCCCACACACACCACACACTTATACACACACGTATTTAAACGCCCCAAACACAACCACCACACACACACACGCACTTAAACCCCCTCACAAACACCACATGCACATGAACGCCAAACACTTATACACACACATACTTAAATCCCCCCCACACACAGGCCCCCCCATTCCTGCACTTAGACACACCCCCATGCACACACACTTGGAGCCATTGCCCCCCACACACTTGGAGGCCCCCCTCATACTCACACATCCAGACTTCAGCAACTTTCAGCCCATCCCAAGCTCCCTCCCAAGAGCTGCAGCACCCGGCTGCTTCTGGAAGTTGTGCGCTGGAGGCCCCACGGCCCACAAGACCCGCAGGCAACCAGCAGCATGGGGAGGGAGGGGGAGGGCTCAGCAGGGGGAGGGGGCCGGCAGAAACGCTTTGGGCATCTGCCTCCTCACAGCCTCCCCATGGGTCGGGCGGCATTCAGCAGCACGCGTGTTGCCACCGCTGGACACGGTAAAAGTAAATAGTGACCCTTGCAGTTCCATTCACTTTTGACTGCTTCATCACCACCCAAGGCTCTCTGCCACAGACCAAGTACCCAAGCTTTAGTTGGAGGGTCATCTTTTATTCTGTGCACTTAACACCCCCAAATCCCACAAGCCAGCATCCTTCTGAGCCGGTGTTTCAGCCAGGAACCTGCAAACGGTTGCAATCCTGATACACCGGCAGAGGAGGTGTTGCCGCCAACGCAATATTATGGGCCGCGTTGCTTGCCACCTCCTCTGACGTATATTTTCCCTTATGCGCTACAGCACCTAACTTACCAGGCTAATTTATATGCAGAGCATTTCTGCTGCATCCTCTAGGTGCAAATTAAGGCCCTGGTCCCACAAACAGCTAAGTACAGGCGCTTAATTTTAATTACATGTTTGCTCACATTAAACACGTTCTTAAGCATTAGCTGGATCGAGGCCCGAACATTGCATTGCACTTACCGAGAAGGACTCGCCTCTCTGCTGTCGCTTGCTTCGGCTGCTAGGTTTTCCTCCTTTGAACAACGGCAGGAAAAGGGGACAGTGGGCACCATGTTACGGCCGTTCTTGTAAACTGGGAAAGGTTTTTCCCTTCTAGTGCAGGAACCACCTCCAATACAGTTGTGAAGCCGTATGCTGCAGCCCGTAAGTGGATTTTTTCTTCAATGCTTACCCATTGGACAGAGCACTTCATAGGAAAGGGCCGTTTTCTTCAGAGAACTAGAGGAGGTGGTGATTGGCTTACAAGATGCTCCTATTTTCAGGCTCTATTCAATCCTCTTCACCCAAGCCAAGGACCCATTGAATTGGATCCTGCAATCACTGGTTTCTTGCATTCAGGCAAAGGCACAAATAACTTTGCTGACATTTTGGGGTGGGGAGTGGGGCGTGTAAGAGATGTGAGCTACCACGGACTTCTTTGGGAGCGCAGCCTCAGCATGCAGGGCTGGATCGGACATCCTATATTAAGTCTCCCATGCTACTTTCTGCCCAGACGGTCAAGATCTGCTTTTGCTAATAATGATCAAGTTACTGGTATATAACTTTACACTAACTAGACCTATTTCCCTGAGAGGCAATTGCAATACAAACAATGAAGCATTTGTAAAGGGAAGAGCATCAGGTGAGAAAGGGACACCTCTGCAAATTGATTTGTGGGGCCTTAGGCTGGTCACCAAGATGCTGCCCTGTGCTGTTTCTCCACCCTGGCAGTGCTTCCCCTCTGCCCGGGCACATTGCAGATGCAGACCCTGCTCTGAAAAACAGCTGCTCCAGCCATTTTATCATGAATCTAATGCTTTATTTCTTAAAAGCCCCAACTCCTGGAGTCAAGTGATGAGATTAACTTCTGCTTTCACTAAATCCACACAGACCTTGTGCATGTGGAGAGGCAGCTTGAAAGCAGGAACCTTCAAAGGCTCAAACCACGCACAGCAAGTAAAGAAATTATGGGTTTTTGGTTTTTAAAATACGAATTTTTAAAGCCAGCCACATATTTTCAGGACTGATTGGGGCGGCTGAATACCAAGAGTTGCCAGTTCTGTAAGTCTCTCTCATCCTCAAATACAACTGCTAGAGGCAAAGTATTTTCCTTTGCTCTATCCACATGATGCATTTTAAAAAAAGATACAAGGTGCTGAAGAACAGACCCCATTAGGGACTCTTCCAGTGCGGCACTTTACCTCGGGGAAGCCGGCCACTTGATCTTCTCTGGCTACTGTACAGAACACCATTACCGCTGCATCTGTGTGGGCGTTTTAAATAGTGCCAGCAAAGAGGCCTATTTTTAACTAATCCCAGACCAAAGGTGAGGCAGCACGAGCCTAGAACATCACAATTCTGTCCATCAGCACGCCGGCCACGCTGAACTATTCGGAGGCAGGGAAAAGGATGGATTAAGGGAGCCGTGGGTGGAGTTGAGCACCCCCGACCATCTTGCACAGCAAATGCCTATTTAGACTCAGCATCTGAGTGCCAGAAATGTGCTGTCCCAGAGGGAAAGGCGCCCTTCAGGGACAGGAAGGACCTTTGGACAGCGCCTTTGTGCTGCTTTCCCCAGATACCCGAGCACCCTGCTCCTCTCCTGCCCTCACCTGCCATCTGTTGGCGCAGCCTAGCCGGGGCCAGGCAACAACCTGGCTGCCCTGATGCTGCCGAAGGTGAGCTTGCTTCTCTGCCCAGGACTTCGCCCATGCTCAGCCCTTTGCAGGGGGTTGGCTTTGGTGGGGATGGGCTGGCCTCAGGTTCCCAGGGCTGCCCAGCCAAGGGGCAGAGTGTACAGCACAAAGGTACTGATCACTCCGTACCCACCGCAGCCAAAGCATGGAGGGGAAGTGGCCGAGCGAGCTGCTTGCAGAGACGCTGGTGCCATCTGCTAGGGATGCAATCACCCAGGTAGGCAGGGCAGGCGCCATGCAGCGGGCCTGGGCAACCCAGGACAATGGACTGGATGTGTATCCGCAGCCTGATTTGCCTAGCATGCACCCCAGGACCCCAGCTAAGGCTTTTCCCTGCTGAGGTTCAATGTCTGTTTCTAAGGAGAATAGTTTGGGATCTTATTAAATCAACTGACTTCCCCAGTATCAGTCCAGGGATTGCTCTTCACCAGCTCTGCAGACAGGTTTCCCAGGAATCTCAGCCCTGCTTTATATATAAAGACCTCAGAAAGGATCTTACTGGGATGAGCATGAAGGATCGGGCCCTGTGCTGCCTCTGCCCAGGCCCTTGTGTGCCCGGAGCAAGCCCTGCCCAACCAATGCAGCAGTCAGGGCCATGCTACCCAACCCATGCAGCTCCTCATGGCTTGGGAAATTTGGCAACAAGGGAGCAGTAATTAACACTCCCCCACAGGCAAATTTTCCAACCTGTGGGGAGGCCCCAGGGGTCAGATCTGGCCTGCAGTTTGAGGATTGAGCACCCCTAGTGTATTGAGATCTGTACAAAGCAGACCAGTAATCAGTGCTAACTCAGCCTCAGGGGTTTTATTTCACCCAAGGGCAATGGACACAGGGTTGGTGGACTCACGGATTTATCATCAGACTAGAGCTGGTCACCTCTTAGTTTAGTCCACAATCCTATCTATTACAGATTTTAAGTTTTTATATTGATGCTCTGAGGGTGTGGGAAAGGATTTTGCCCTACTGAAAAGCTTCCATCCAGTCATCCGTAGGTTCTTCCCTGGTATTGTGTGGAACAGGATCAATTCCCAGCACCTTGGTCTGAACAATGTACTATATGTTGAGCCTATTACTTTTTTATCTATATATTATGGTACCTCCTTCACATGTACACCCAGTCTTAAAAGAAATGTCCCTCCCAGAAGAGGGAAGAAAGGTGCCCTGCAATTATACTGTCACCTGGTGCTGCAATAATTCTTGCTTCTTAAGTCTGCCTTGAAAAGAAGCTGCGAAACTGAATAACTTGTGCACTGGTTTGGTGTGTGCGTGTAGGCACGCACACATGCACAGTGGATAAAATCATGAGCTTTTAAAAGCAAAGACCTGAAATCAAGGTTGACAGTAGGTAAACAAGTGATTCTGGAGCTTTTATGGAGGTCAATCAATCAATTACCTCTCCATGTCAGACAGTTCATCACTACCTGGCTTTTCATAAATCACCCATTTCTGCTCAAAAATGGCCTAAGAGTAGACCTGCTAGGATCTCACATATCAGGATCAAAATGAATCAGCTGGTCATGGCAGGCTTTCAGTCCGCTCCTTGGATCAGTGCAACTATAAGGAGAGAAGGGAGGAAAAATAGATTAAACAAGAAGCAAGGGGGAGAACCGATCATGTCGAGCTGCATGTCTAGTTGCAGGGATCAATATTAGGCCTTGCCCCGTTTAACATCTTCATAAGCCATGTGGAAGAGAGGGCAAGCAGCATGATTATTACATTGGAAGGTAATTTACAGTGTCATCTGAAGCCATTAGCCTACACAGATGCATTTTACATGCTTTTTTTTTTTTTTTTAAACAACTGTTTAGGCAATAGATTTGCTGTTTTCTCATGCTTTACAGCCTTGCCCAAAGAGAACCACATTCAGGTGCGTGATATTAAAGACAAAGGAAACAACCCCAGAACTGTCTCCTTAGTTTTTCTCCCAGTGAGGAAAACTTGCTCCAACATCCCAGTTTCTTTGACTGTTCAGCAAACTGGATATTCCCTAACACACAGAATAACCAAGACAAACCCACCTGTTACAGCCTGCAAAAGGCAGGATATGCAGACTGAGCATAGTACAGTAATGGGAGACAGCAGTGACAGAGCTCCATCTTAATAAGCTGTTAACTGAGTGGACAAAAATTGAAAGTATTAGGTCTTTAGGGGACAGTGCAAGAACTGAGCTTTGGAAATAAGCTCAATATTTCTAATAACACCTCTTAAAGCATGCAAACATTCAGCTCTGTGTTTGCTGGGGGGGGGGTTCAAGCAGATGATTGGAGCTGTAAGGTTGTCTTAATCATAGACTGAAATAAAACTGAGGCGTTTTTGTGATTTAGGATTACTTATACATAGGACAAGCCTCCAGGGACTTCTGCATTCCCTAATTAAAGCTTCCAAAAAAGCTATTTACACTGGTTTCTTTAAGGTGCTACACTATAATCAGAGAGGTAGAAGGAAAGGAGAGATTTAAACCAAACTGGAAAGGGGGAATCAGTGTGAGAAACCCTAAACATAGCTCTTTGTTGTCAAATACTTCACCTAGTGCTTAACTTCTCAAGCAGCTACTGACATGCAAAATTTGAGAGGGGCAAGCCTGGTTCTGCTATTCAGGGTGACTTGGAATGACAAATTACTGACACCTTGTTAGCACTGATCACCATCTTCCTCTCTCCCATTCAGAGGCATTAGGATTAGGGTCACACATCATAATGGAGGCCAGCAGGAGAGATTTTGCAAAACCTCACTGATCATTTGGGGTTTTGTTTTGGGTTGTGGGGGGGGGGGCCTGTTTGATTTAGAGATTTGGCCACTTCAGCAGCAGCTGAATCTCCTAATCAGATTTGGCCAAATTGT